GATGGGGAATTGCAAATTCTTTTTAGCTTGCCGTGGGTTATAAATGGCATATGGTTGTACTTTGGAAAAAGATAGAGCATGTGAAAGGCTTTTCGGTATCAATTAAAAAAATTACCGAACTCTTTGACGTCTTAGCCTCTCAACATGTTAACATAAGCAATGTCTGGTTTACGCAAGTAATAGAAGTTTTAGTGAGTTGTGCTCGAAACTAAACACAAATTACATGCCTAAATCTACTTTCAAGGGCAAATTTAAATAGGGGAGAGAGTATGCATCTTTTTAATACTCGCAATTTTTCATCATAAGGTACAAAATAGCAAGGAGTTCGATTGCACACCCCCAGCAAGTTACACATTTCAGTCTGGATGATTTTTCCCTCTTAGTGTTCATGACAAAATAATTCTTTTTAGAATGAGTGAAAGAGTGAAATTGTCTCATAATTACAAAGCCAAGGAAGGGTCCATAAGGTTGTTCTCATTAATCCAACGACCGTGGTTTTAAGCATTCTCCATTATTTGTCAAGTCAGTCCTTGAATGTCATGACTGGCAAAACGACTTCATTTATTAAGCACTTTAAAGAAAACACTTATTTCAAGTCAGTTATGTGCATTAACGAAATTATTATTTTATTTTATGAGTGAGGCAACTGAAGGATTGGACTTTGTAAATGCCTCATGGTTGTAACAAGTTGAAAAAATTCCGAGTACCACTGCGTAAACGTGATACATAGGTTCAGAGATCATTAATGACCAGTATTAAGATTTACACACTTATCACGCTATTCATAAAGCTAATTATTGATTATTTCTACCATAGGGGTATATTCCATCTATTGTTGTGTACATGACTCAGACTTTACTATAAATGCGTGATTCAATATAATATTATTTACATAGATTGCCTGATAAAATATTAGTAATCAATTTCTTCTACGGAAGTTTAAAAATAAATTCTATAACTTAATTTGGTTCTATGTTTAATGATCTAATCCGTGATGGTTTGTTTAGATAGAATTCTTGTGTTCTGTCGACCACCTCGAACAGAGTATAAAAAGCAAAATTTCAGACGATTAAATTTAAATTTTAAGAGGACGTTTTTAGGGCAGATATTCACTTTAAAATCCAGTCAAGAATTTTCGAGCTTCGATTCTAATCAAGTGAATTTTATTCTTGAATGAGTTGTGCATATTTAGTGACTGTTGAGCCTTGTGAAATGTGAAACAGTTAGAAAGAAATGGCATATTAATAAAGAAAAAAGATTGACATGCCTAACGATGATTTGATTGCAAATTTCACTTTTAACTCAAGCAAGCATATTATTTTTATAAACTAAACAGCTTTTTCTTTACGAATTTCTGGTCTGCTGAGGGAGAAATCTTTAATCACTCACTTTCCTGACAAATCCTACGTAGATACAATCTTAAATCTTGTTTTTCATTTCAGAAATAATATTTCAGGAAAAAATTTAAGCAATAAGAGGAAAAATTCAAGACTGTGATAATAAAATGGGTCAATTTTATAATTCACAGCGATCAGAAAACTAGGCCGATTCCATTCGACTCAGATGCCGTTCGGGGGATAGACATTTGTCCGACTTGATCTACTCGAATTGTGTGAACGTGGATAATGTCGCGTTGCTTATTTCCAGACATTGGATCTCCGCGAATATATGTTTATGTGAGCTCTGTCTAGTTAAGAGTCTATTAAGATATTGAATTTGTAGTCATTAATAATTCATGCTTTTCATCTATGAATTGAATTTTGTGCCTAAAAGAACATTAATATCTTACTTTTTACTGGTGGTTTCTTCCGCCTATGTTTATTTCCCAGGCAATACCCACGTAGTGTTTACTTTACAAAACATTTTACGCATGTGCATTGTTCCATAAAAGTGCAGTGATATTTGGAGAAAAAAATAACTTGAACTTGGTACTAACATTCTTACAATGTCTACAAAATATTGGGAGAAAAGATAATTCAAGTTATACTACCGAAAACATTGTATAAATTTGGGTGGATAGCCAATAATACTGCCAGTTATGGACAATGGAAGGGTTGATTGACTTTACCAATAATCAGTATTACTAACACTTACCTTAATGACATCTGGAAGCATTCGTTTTACCTCATTATTGCTCCTTACAACTGGGGAAGCTGAGTTTTGCTTCTTTATTTCTCACTATTGGTTGCTTAAAACACCCTACGACACAATGTCATCTCTCATGTTTACAATAGCATGTTTGATGGATGCAAATCTTCTCAGAAGCAGTGATAAAGAAGAGCACACATTTGCCACAGATTAGTAGAAAAAAGTAACTTCTCCCACGCAGTGCATTAAATCTCAAATGAGTTCGATCGTTTTTTGACGACCTAATTAAGAGATGAAGACACTACTATTTAGCTAATTATTCTATTGAAACGTATTTGTCTGAAAGCATTGGAGCTAAGTACTCGAAGTGATATGAGTGCGATGGCGATTAAAAGTGGAAGTCAGGAGGACCTCTTTAATATTTCATCAAGTGATTAAAAAGCGAGTAGATTAGTATTTTAACAAAAGAATTATGCACCTGTGAAGCATGAAGTTTACACAACATCGACAACAGAACATCGAAACGCTGCTTCCATACGTAACATCGATTTTGGTAAAGTTCCGGAATCTGCTCTTACGCGGCTATCACTAACAAAGCATTTTCTTAGACTTATGCTAATTCACTGCTTTACTTTATATTTTAAGGAGCTAATCGTCACATCTTTCATCGTCCACCTCATCAATATGACCGTTCTTTGGAGCCATCTCACATCCAACTGCTTTCTTGAATACAATCGAATTGACCTTAAATTTTTCCTCTTCATTGGTTATTGAAGGTTGTCAGTGACAGGATCGTCCACACTGTCTGGGTCGTCTACAATCTCAAACTACACACCCCACCATTTTGCTCCTGAAAGTGTGAATTTAGCAAAATCACGGTTGTGGATGCCTTATAAATCTCATACTTACAATTCCTCAATAGACTTTTCTCCATCCATCCCATCGGCCTCATTGTCACCTGATGATATTGTTCAATACAGAACGATATCCATCCTATACATCCTCTCACGTTGCTCAGATTACATCAAACCCTCTGCATACTCATTCAGGGAGTACATCCCCCTAAATTCTATAATCACGGTTCAATAAAGAAAGCTCCAACCATTTGCCCATCTACTTTCTCGCCCCAAACCTATGTTCTGGAAGGTGCACCTCTTTCTCCCACACCAATAATTGCTGTCATTGTCTCCATGTAATTTGATGACAGTGGATTGTGTACAACTTGGGATGTAGGTGGATTGGTGGGACTTGCTCTGTCTTACATTGATACCACCAAAGCGTGCCCACTAGAGGAGGAGTACATTCATAAGACGAGACTATTCTGCCGATGGTGATAGGTATTCGTGAATCACAAGGTTCAAGACTAATAAGAGAGAATGGTGCAATTATTGGAATAAGGATCAAACGTAAATGAAGTGCCTATGTGTTTGTGGTTAAATGTTAGAACTCTGCCAAATTGCAGAGGTAGACGGTAATGTAAGTTGTACAATTGATCGGTAGTATTTTCTGAAAGAAGTGAGTAAGAATCGCAAACCCGATGGAAAGTAATTAGCACGTAACCCACTCTTCCGCCCTGTCTCTCTCCCTCTAAGTCTTTCAAATTTAAGTGAACGTGTTATTTAATTCCACACTTCGTGGAGTGCTCCCCTGTCAATATATACACAGCCAACATTCTTACGGAAAGCAGAACGTGTAGGTCGCTTTTCCTTGTAGCCTTCTGTGAGCATATTGCTTAGAAGGAAATACTATTTCAAGGAGATCTCTTCCCTGCCTGAGTTAATTAGAGAGAGGTCTCCTAACACTTTCCTCCTCCACCTCTTTCACCAGCTCCTAAAGACCACAACAATCGAATTAACAGTGCACTTGGCGTCTTTCTAAATGGTGTGGAAATGTCATAGTAATTAACAGCTATAACTTATTGGCTCCATGAGAGAAAAGTTAACTGCATAACAATATGAAGGATTAGGATTGTGTGGTCGAAATTGTGTTAAGTAGGTTTGGAAGTAGTTAGAGTTGATAGAATGCAATATGTACGTCAGCTTGGAGAAATATTCATTTTGAAGATGGGAATGCGAAATGGTGGTGGATGAAATCTTGTTTCAATTTTCACTTGTGGAACTTCGATTGCAAGTATTCAGCAATTGACTCTTTTGGACTTGGCCTGTCCAATTTATCATATTAAGGTGATTGTTTATAATTCATTAGGGTGGAACACGTTGCTTGTGGGTTAAACATGTTAGGAATGGATGTGAATTAGTGGTATCAGATCAGGAGTTCACTATAAATGGGCACTATCGCTTCGAGGCCTCTTTTATACACCATTGTCACGGTTCAAATACCAAAATCCAGTATTAGGATATTCCACCTGTTAAAAAGGATTTGCATTATATCTCGAAATTGAATCCTAAAAATGTATTTCAAGTGTAGGACCCATTTCAAGTTTTCAGTGATTTACTTTAACTTTTAATTTTTTATCCAGAGATCGTTGTTTACCTAATTTACTTAAATATTTCACCTTTTTCCAGGTGTTTTGGAAGAATAATGAATTGTGCAAGCTCTATGCCTTTCCAAGTTGATTTAAGAACATAAATTTTCATTGCATTTGCTTAATCTTGATTCCTTTCAATGAGAGCAAATTGACATTTCAAAACTTGAAAAATATATAATTTAAAGATATCAACCCTCATATCGAATTTAAAGCGTTTTAAACTGTTCTTTTTTGTTCAAAGCATAGTTGTAAATGATGAAAAGTTTGTCCACTTTGATATTTTCAAGATATCGATTATTTTTGAACAAAAAATATAGTTGTTAGAATAGCTAGTTTCTTGATATAAGTACTTTAGTTTGTTTTACACTATTATTACCGCGGCGCAAGTTCCAATCCACCATTTCGTTTGCAATCGGGTCACTAAATGGCTTCTCGTTTCGGTTCACGTCCAGCTGGTTCGGATGGTTCTGATTTCCAGCATCGTGAGTGTGTTGTCGAACCATACAATCAAAGGTATTTATGTCATACTTTCCTTAAACGTATTTACTTTAGTCCATTGTTTAAGAGACGTCTTAGAACGACTTTTACTTTGCACATCGCTATATGGTTGCTGGTCGCTGTCAAGGTTCTTCCTGAAGTTTTGTTCAAATTTGGTCTTATTTCACGCGCTATTATAAGAAGGGTATTTCCACTTAGCGTAATCTCACTTTTTAGTATGGTCTTCCACCAAACGAACTTTGGGAATATGCTTGGCTCTTCGGAAGCATTCTGCCCGTAATTTTCGGCCATTTTGCCTTCCCTAAGAACCGAATCTATCTCATTCGGTTTTCACTCATTGGTACAATCGTTTTCGGTTTCGTTCCCATCATGATGGGTTGCTTTTTGCGAGCTTTTGAGCTGATGGATTTTTATTACACCAAAAACTCTCGGCATGATTTCTTCAGATTCCCATTCGTAGTAATTCTTTACATCTTCTTTTCTATCGCCTTTCAAATTCACTGTTTTGAACTATACTTTAGCTACAAGCTCATGTCTATGTGGTCGCGACTTTCTAAGAAGAATGCATGATTGTATTTTTGCCACTATTTTGCCAATGGCTTGTTTTTTCAACTGCTAGCATGTATTTAAATTTTTCTCTTTGATGTTCTCAAATAAGCAACTCGGTCTATGTTTGATGTCCTACTTATTGATGCATTTGTGTATATTTATCAATAATTGGCATTCATCTGCTTATAAAATACTTTACAATGCTAAACAATGCAATGAGTGACACGTCAATATTATGTCAAATTCCTTCTTCAATTAGTTTTAATGTGGGCTTTCATTCTCGGTGTTCTGTAATTTTAATTCCTGCTGTTTCATTTTATTTACGGACCTATGAATTCTTAATTTTATACGTTCTCCGTTTTGATGCTGGTATTTTTATGTTATTGTCCAAAAAAGCTGTTGCCATTCGTGTATGTTCATTAAGGCGTTAGAGGGCAAACTTGTTATCAATCAACCAGAGTTTTTAAGTAACCTTAACTATCAATTAGACCTCCCTGTCTCATTAGACTCCCATTTTATCATCGCATATCTTAACTAGATTTGCGTGAGGTGATTGGTCACGCACGCCACTGAATGTATCGATGGGCATTGATTTCGTGATGTCCTACTTTGCGGACGGGCACATTTCTCCTAAAGTTTCCTTATGCCCAAGTCAATTTTTCTGCAATTAGGAGTTGCCGTTGTCATTTATTTGATATTTACTTCTCGGTCATTATTTCTCGTGTATACTTCTCCGCATAGTAGCAATGAGATCAGTTTGGTTTAGGATATAATCTTTGCACTTTCTCTATGTCAATTCTGTCGTGCATATACACGGAAATTCATCTCCATTGACATTAAACCTCCGATTTCGTGGCGTGACTATTGCTAAGACTCCATTGTTTCTTGTGCTTTTAGGAAGGTTCAGTTATGCTGTGTAAACGTAGTTCTTGTAAATCTTCGCAGTAGAGCATATTTTTCCCTACTCAGAATTCCCAAGACTAGGAAAAAATGACATAAAGAGTGAATGAACAAAGTCAAATTTACAGTTTGATGCCATTGAAATGAGATAGTACGTAGTCCTGGGAGTGCGCTTATTATTTACAAAGTGTTCCCTTTATTTCTGTGCACTGTAAGCGTCAGTGGCCACAAGATCGCTCTAACAGGTATACGTCCATTGACGGGAATGGCCAATCACGTGGTTAGCTTTGGTCAACAGGATACGTGACTCTTCAGGGCGTCCCAAAAGCACTCTTCATGAGCTTGAGATGTTTATGCCTCTTGCTATTTTATAAACTTTGTTTGCTTTTGTAAGTATCCGTCGGTTGAAATAAAAATTAACTTCACTGTCAGTTGCGTTGACATTGCAACAGATCTGGGGCAATTGCCTTGGTTTTGCCGCGTGCCATTCAAATTCTACTTAGGGGGAGGGGGAACGCCGTGACACAAACATGCCGATAAGTGAAAAGTGGCCTAAGTTAACTTTACTCTTCCCCATTAATCAAGCCGGTCGACTTTCCTAGTGTCGCCTAAATGTGCTTTCCTGGACAACTACATTTTTGGTTTGTTGGGGGGGGGGGGGTGAGTACTATATTTATTGATTATTCCAAATTGATTCTGATTATCCTTTTGTTATTGTTTTGCAACAGTCACTTCTAACTACCATGACCCGACTGTTTATCATATTTCACCACTTTACAGTACTCACCTTACCTTTTTCTTTACCTCTGTGTCTGTCACTTTTACATCTGCGACTCACTCTTCCGTTCTCCCTCTCCACTTTTGGTAACTGATGTTTCTCCCCTTTGTGAAGCCCGAAGTCAACTAATGGACTTTTGCTAACTATCATAAGGCCTGCCATTTGATATGAATTCATAGTCCCCAGAGAACTATCAAAAAGACGAAATAAATAATTTCATAATAAGTATTGAGTGTAAGCCTCAAATCCATGAAATGAATCTGTTAACTCCATTAACCTGCCCACCCTCTGCGTCATGTTATGTCAATGGGCCATTTATATTGATCCGTGCTGCGTTGTTACTTGCTAACAACGGTTGTGAAAGTGGGTCCTGAAGAATGTTGTTTTCAACCCAATAAAGAATGGAACTTTTTGGGGACTAAATCATTTGGAATGCCAACTGAAAGGTTCACTACAAAATATCCACAGACAGTTGCTACTGCTAACAGTGTAGTACAGGACATAATTACTAAATTTGGAATCATAGATTCGGTCACTAACACCAAAAGCAACAGTGTGAAAGCTGTTTGTTCAAAGGAGAACAACCAGCGTGCTTATGAGAATCTGCTGAGAAGTCCATGAAAATCACCCAGATGTCTAATATTTCAACTAAAGTTAAATGAAAGTCTTGCCCGAATATTTCGAAGTAGGTATATTTGTGGCGTAAATAGTAAAGGTGATGCAAATATTGCAACCAAAAGAGAATTCAAAGCGATTACTCTATTGTGAGTGGTCACTCCCTCATTTCGTTAGTGGTTGTCTGGAATCAGATATTTATTTTGTCACAAACGTAGATTGTTCCACCACTCGCTATTGGTCAATGGACACTTATAGTAAACTGGTAAAGGTTCCAGTTCAGCTAATTGTGAGGGCAGCGTTTTCTTTAATAATACTGGAAGCTCTGAAGTGCATGTAACAAAATTCATAGCTCAGCTGAAGGAGGAAGAAAGAGAATTAACAGTTTCTTAACAAAAATGTTTTGAAGAAGATTGTACGCTTTAGTACGGTTTATGGGCCCCGGTTCGCTCGATCCACCTAACTGTCATTTTTATGGGAGGGATAATGTAAAGGGTAAAGTTAACTGTAAAACTCACATGTAATTGATGGGTTGAAAGTGGGAAGTCACAAAAAATGGTCTGGCATAAGCTTCACGGTACGTGTTGAGACGTGCTGAGTTTGCCGACACCGTGAATTATTGAATAGTCAGTATGTCGTTATTCGTTATATTCTGAATTAAATACTTATAGTTTTAATGATGGAATTAATTAACCTTTTTTGCATTCATAAGGGATCTCCTTCATCTTGCTCACTCGGTATAAAATACATGTACCGATGTATGGTACCGATGAAAACTTTCATAATTTGTCCTATTAGTAGTCATAAGAATAATTTAAAACTATATAGCAATTACATTATTACGAATAAATATGAACTAGTATAATTTTAACCTTCAAATACTCTTGGAGGCAGATAATTTAGCACATAAACTACACAGTCTTCTTGCCTTGTATTCATTGAAACGGGATAGGACTTTTTGGCATATACAATCATTTAAAGCAGTGACACCGTTGTTATATCTACTTGAAAGCCAAATCGGGATTATATAATAAAAGTAGTTGTATTTTGGAAAGAACTTTATAAAATGCTTCTCAACTATTACTTTGCTAAAAAATGAAGGTTGTTATATTGTCATTTTCAGCACATATTTAACTCGCATAGCCTGTGTTTACACACATGGATTGCTCCCAGCGATTCCATTCCATGTTTAGTGGAATAGCATTTAAAAATAAGAATGACTTTTATAGTGCCCTACGGAACTTCGAGCTAGTAAATCACATGATTTTTTTCAAAGTCTTGTTTAGCAAACTGGTACTGAGTACATAAGGGGATCGAGGCAACTACATTTTGAAGGCACAATCGAAAGTACTCTATTCGATTTCAAGCATGCAAAATTCTTCTGTGCTAGACATGGAGCTGGCATCAGATGCGGGTCTAAAAAGTAGAAACCATTTCGCACGTGTAACGCTATTTAGATACCGACCAACAGGCTGCACAGCTAGATTCACTGCTACGAGTACTGGTGGTTGCTTGAGAGTCCTTAAATGCGATATGCTTCACAATCATCCACCTGAACCTATCACAGAGGAATTTCAACAGTCCGTCATGTCATCTGATCCATCCTCTGATCAAACCTTAGTTGCATTTGCCCCGGGCTTTGATGGTAATTAATTTCTTTCTTGGCATTTCGTTTCCATTTTAGATGAATTTTTCGTGTCAGATTTAACGAAAGAATTCCTCAATATCTTTGAAAACAGATTCTTTTACTCTTGTCAAGTGTTGATGGATTGTATGAATAGGTTCATGAAGGTAGCTTGGTCTAACTTATAAACCCTCTTTTAGTTAACCGGTTCGAATTATGTAATGAGGAACACTGTTCGATTACCTATTGGCCATCCCCTTGCAGATCGATTAGTTTATCGATCTATTGCATTTGAATGCTACCGTTATGGAACTTATACCAGCTATGCCACCGTTCGTCGAAAGCAAAAGTAAATCCAACCTCTTTCTCTTTTATTTCCCCTCCTTTTTAGAACAACAAAGATTGGTTGTCAATCAAAAATCTACTTTTGCTGTAAAGATGATCAGCTTCAAATAGGAAAATATCAACTCAAACACAACCATGAAGTCAATCCTGATGATCCCTTCTCGGAGCTAAGGATTCCTGATGGGAAAAGTCGGAAGCGAAAAGCGACATATGCGTCGAATAACGTGAAAACTAAGAAATGTTATCTACCAGATAGTTATTCCGAAGAGTATAAAGTAAATGGATTTTCCGAAAATGACGAATGGATAGACTCAGACCAGTTTCCTCCAAACCTTGCCGCAGAAGTTTCAATTGAATCTTCAAATCGAAGTGTGGATAATATCTTCAAGGATGCAGTGGGTCGTCAGTTGCTAGAGCGTTCTCTCTCGGATTTAAAGGCGATCGCTTGTTCTGTTGGACCTGATAGATTTTTCAGCTGTCTGAATGATCTCCAAGAACTTGAGAATAAGTGGAAGTCGGAATTTTTTGTGAATAGAGATGATGGAGAGATAAAGGGAAAGTCTCGAATGGGTGATTCCGGCGATTTCCCTTGTGAAGAAATTGTTGAAATTCCACCATCCAGTCTATCAATCGTTTATGCCTCTTCTCCCTCTCGACATAATGATCTCCTAGACATTCCTCGAGCCTCCAATCTCGAGGACTCTCCGAATCGGTCTTGGTACTTTCATGAAGATAACTAGATTGTACAGTAGTTGTGCGTATCATATTCTTTTTACGTGTATGTTTATATTAATATACGTATTGTTCATTTAATTCGCCGATTTTAGCACTGTAATATGATGGATACAGTTAGCGAGTCTTAGGCAAATTTCATTTTATGGGGTTCCATTCTTAACCTCCTATTGAAGTTTGTTAGCTTCTAATGTGCATTAGCTTCAAGCTAGACTTTCTAATTTACGATTTTCACCACACGAGGGGCTGTTGGTTGGAAAGCTTTATTGAGTTCAGATTGAAAACTCAAAGGCACGAGAAAGTGAGATTGTTTTAGAGTGAATGTGTTGGACGAAGTGGTTGTTTACACAGGTGTTATTTATAGTTCACTGACGTAAATAAATGAGATCGTTCCAGACACTACTGATCGAGGCAAATTTGTGGCCTAGGAATGTTCACCCAAAGGCCACTTAAATTGCTATTTAAAATAGTTCGCACGATGGTTCGCCAAGACAAACCCTGAGATCGCAAAGCACTTGGTTTAATAAAAGTCTTAAGATTGAAGCACTGAGTTCGAGCCACTAAGGTTCCATAGATTAATGGTGACCGGGAAAAAAATTGATGGATATGTCACTACACCTCTCTGCGAAAGTTCTATTTAAAAGTTTATTAAATACTACAGTTATTCCTCCTGGTATATTGTGGTCTAAATGGGCCTCTATTCAGCACACCAAATAGGTAATACAAGTAACTATGGCAGGGGCAATTGCCTTACGTCAGCCAAACTCCACCAAGAACGTTGGTGATCGATGGCTTTGTAGCCTATTCTAGCCAATGGTCACACCGAACTCCCACTTCGACATCTCCATTGGCCGGCTCTGTGCATCCTTGTGCTTCAGCTTGGTCCAGTGGGGTCGCGAGCCTATGTCCTGTTTGTTACACTGTAATATGGCATTGCTTGTTAATAGCAGGCATTGTAATGTAGACGACATGTATGGGGATCTTATCATGGGATAGAATCTGAAAACATTCGTAGTTTATTGATGAATGGTACACTGGGTAGACTGACCAGGAGTGGGAAGCTTTATTTGAATTCCAGAAGTGTTGAGCTGTACAATTTCTCGTGAGGCATTCACAGTGTAATATCCTATTTTTCCAATCCCAAACTTTCATGATCTAACTAGTTATATTTTAGAGATGAATCCATTTTTCCGATATTAAAAGCGTGTTGACCAGTTGGTTGCAAACCTGCTTGTGGCGTGCATCATTGTTTATCAAATCCCCAGGACTTTCGAGACAGGTCATTCAATGGAGGGCTGACATGAGCATGTCACATAAGATCCGAGTTTGAAACTCATCTTTGCACCATCAAACTGAGGTGCGTGATCATTTTGGCCAGCGTGAAAGCTTAAAGTCCCAGGTCCTATAAGAGCACAAATAGTGAGCGGAAATGCCAGTCGCACTGATCGAGGTAGGAGTTGGGATTGTTCTAGGTTGTTAAAAATTTTTAGACGTTTCCCTTCAGCGAACTTGATAATCGCACATTTTAAACGTCCCAATAACGAGCGATACCCCCTTTCGATCATATTTAAATTCTGGATTTTTTCTATACCCCAGGTGACAGATTGTTGCTATAATACAAAATCCCTCCACCCATTAATAGAAATCGGTAAAGGGGCAATAAATTGGCCCAAAAGCATGTCGACTACTACTTTCGAAACCCTCTGATTAATGTTTTTTTATTTCTCAAGAGATAGTTGTAGTCGCAAGTGGACAAAATGTACATAGTAATAGCAGTAGATAATGGCATTGGCGCTCAAGAAAGTAAAAGAGAAATGTCAAATTAAAGTAATAGAGAGAGAGAGAAAAAAAAATTAAATAAAATTACAACCAAGATGGAGAAAGTGATTATTGGCGTCGCTGATTTATGATATAAGTAGTAAGTCTGTTTATTTCTTTAAATGCAGTGATGGAACTGAGAGGGGGGGGGGAGGAAGGCGGTAAGTTGTTAGACAGTAGGCAGAGCCCAACAAACACAGCTCTTATCGGCACTGGTTGTGATAAAGGAGAGTTGTTCCGGATGCCAGCGCGCTTGAATCACCTTGTCTTTGTGGTGTGCCACTTGTACACAGGCAAGAGGTTGCGAAAGGTCACCTGGAAAATGGATAAACGAAATGTTATTATCTGTTTCCAACCACGACTTATATACCCATCAAAGTCTATTTCCAATGCTCTAGTTTTGAAAATCACTGCAGAGAAAAGTAGCGCAAGGACAACGAAAGATAATATCGTCAATAGTCACTAGGTTGCCCAAAGTATATCAAAACTAATGCTCGTTGAAAAGTTAGCTAGCTTTTATAATATGGATGGACTTAGACCAGAAAATTCATTGGCTTATGCGAAAAAGACCAATAAACGAAAGATCATCTGTGCGTGATCAACTGTATGGTGAACCGCAATAACTAATTCTGGTCAAGGCTACAAGTGTTGCTAATACTAACTTAAAAGGGTTTAGAAAGTTCATTGGCCTCACTCCTGACTTCAGGTGCTGCAATTTTACATTGTTCCTCAGAAAAGTTTTCATTTCAGCTTGGATTAATCTGAATCCCACGCAACTCCAATATTAAAGACTCCCCATGATCTGGTAAGTCAGTTAAAATTTAATTTGACTTGACCTTCCTTAGCTTATTCCCTTCAATTGCGTGTATCATTTAAAAGCGACTTGTCCTCTTTTCACCTGACGCCACTGTTGCCGTCATTTACAGATTGGCCGGACCACGCAATGACGCCATGACCTGACTTAAAAGCGACTTGAATAAAAATGGTTTTGGAAACTTCACAAAAGTATTAAGCCAAAGCGATCAGGCCTGTCCAACACAACAACACACGACTAGTTAAAGTAAAGTCGAATGATCAGTTTCCCTTGTCACAACTCTCTGTATCCTTAGGTGACTACTCTATTGCCATGAAATGAAAGGAATACATACGAACCATGGAGATCAGTGATGACGACATGTTTGTCATAGCTGGCGGAGAGGAGGTAGTAGTCCGAAGGTGCAAATCGAACGGAGCGTATCTCATTCGAGTGAGGTCGATAGGCGGAGATGTACCTCGCACCTCGAATATCAAAGAGAGAGACAGTGGCATCTTCATGACCACTCGCAAGCACATTTCCGCCCGCTTCCATGCTCACTGAAGCAAAAGCGCTTCCTAGAAATATGAAAAAATAAACGGATTCAGGCAAAATTTTTTGATGAATAATCTTCATCTGAAGACTGCAAGATTGCGAGGAAGTTTGCAAAGTTAGATGAAAGGAAACGATGTCTGTCTTATATACATGGTGGGCTAAATAGAGGTTCAATTAGACCATGTTTCACGCTGTACAATTTATAGGGGAACGGAGAGAATTAAATTGTTAAAGACAGAAAGAATTTTATTCAAAAGTATTCGAAAATAGGCATGTAATGGTCTGAGGCGGGCATATCTGCTGTTTGTAAAGAGCTTAACCCCCTTCACTATTTTAAAACATATAAATAAGATGCTTTCGTGTTACATTCAGTGAGAAATGTTATTATGATTTCATGTAGACTGAATAACAAAAACAAGTTCTTTTTTCATTTACACATACAGTTCGATACCCCAGGATTTATGAATTGATAAAATAAGGCAACTGCTTGAGAAATACCATGCACCACGGCCTTACCTCATCTCCACAAAATCGGCAAGAGCAGTATATTAAGAGAACACAGGGGAAGATCGACAGGCTTCATCTTAGAAAATTAAAACATGTCTAAGTAACTGAATAAAACCCTATTTGAACAGGTTTGAAAACACAGAAAACCAAAAACGGCCTACGGGAGCAGGGCTTAGACCTTTCTTTGGCTGGATTGTCAAGGGCAGCCATTTGTATGATATCTTTAATCCTAAGCCATACACTAAATTAATATATGAGAATAAGTCATCTGTTGATATTTTTAAGGGTAATAGACGGAAGACGTATTCCATGTCACAAAGCGATGAAAGAGAGTTCGAATGACCCTTACCCTGAGCTCCAGAGTAAGATGGTATAATAAGCACAGGTGCTGGAGCCCTGATATCCCACAACCGAGCTGTAGCATCAGCAGACGCAGAGACAAACAGTGATCCGGGTGCCCAGACAGACAGAGCGAAGACAGTGCCTGAGTGGCCAGACAACGCACGAACAGTTGCTGCAGAAGAGGACTTGAGGCGCAGACAATTGGATCCACTACCACCAACAGTGGCGGCTGAAGACAACATCCCAGCTCGTTCGACGTCAATCACGTAAATCCGACAGTCCCCTGCTCCCGCAGTAAGGAGGTAACCTGGAGAGCCGGAGAGAAGAGAAGGAGGGGGAGAACTGTGGCCATTGGTTGGTGAACCTGCAGAATCTTTAGAATAGGAGTTCATCTAAAATGAAAAAAAGATGAATAAATCAATTTCATTTAAAAGCATGTATGTGCTATAATAATAGCACAACTGAGTTGCAGCACTTAAAGATAGCAGTAGTCATTGAACTGCAACTTAACATTCAGTTTCAAACTGAAAGAATAGGCTATCGAGAAAGTGTGTTTTGGTTCAGCTTAGCTGCTAAACACTCTACAGTAGAGATAGGGAATGTCTTCTACGACAAACGTTTAGAAGTACTTAAGGCAATGGGTTAAGTGCAACACTTTGAAGGCAATCTGTTCTCCAACTGGATTTGACCTCGCCGACTGAGGCCACACATCTTGAGTAGCTCCACTGTAAAAGTATATATAGAGAGCAAGGGAATACAAGTATTGATGGAGCAAGCACGCAGACTCGAGAGTTAAACTATCGTTTTTAGTACTCCATAATATAATCAGTACTAATTTTGTAGGTTATAAGGCCTTTGTCTCGAGCTGAATCAATCGACCAATCACCACGGCTCACCATAAAAGCAATATCTCGAACAGTTCCATCATGATGAGTAAGTTGAATGTAACTATCTTCCACACTGTTCGTAGGAAGACCAAACTCAGGATCAACTCTAAGGAGATGCACCGCAGTATCATTGGAGCCTGTTGCGATCACTCGTCCGTCACCACTCCACGCTGCGCAGTAGATACTTCCACGATGGTATTTGTGCCGCTGAAGAATTATCGCAGGGTATGTAGCTTCGTGGGTAGACCTATAAGAAAATGGAAACCAGTACTATGATTCAGTACATTGATATAAATCCCTTTATCAAAAAAAGGCTCTGTTCAATTAACACATCTTAGATACGGGATTAGTTTCTCTAAGAGTTCTCAGATTAAAGCGCCCCGTTTTTCTGACCCCAGCGATGTTAGAAATTAGTGGTTGAGGATAAATGACATCCAATAGTGTAGATCACGATAGGCAAAAACAAAATAACTTACGCACTACATTTTACAATAGTACAGCTTCCAAAGAATGCCAGCAGCCTACAGTCTATAGAAAAAGCCTAAGATTTCGCAATTATATAAACACGAAAGATCCGGACCTACGTACACAAGATCTTTCAAGATTCGTATATTCCTGCTTTCCTGTTTTATCTCGATGAGTGAACTAAATGCGAGTGTATCATTTCGTATCAACCTTATAGAGTACGCCTATATGATTACATTTATGGAGATCATCTTCAAACTGAGCTTGTTTAAGGAGTTGGATATCAACGAAAATTTCAATGCCTCCAGATTGCGGCTACAAATCTCAATGAACACTTTATACACAGAGTGGCCATATTTTCAAAGTACGCAGTTAGTTTAATTAGTTGGCAAGACGAAAGGGAAGGAGAGAAGTCGACACTCAAAACTCAACGAACCTCCTCCTATGCTCAAGAAAATACCCAAATGACCATTTTAATCACATGGCCTTTATCGTGTTTGTCATCAACTAAAGTCAACGTCTTAATGAAGAAATGTGGCAACATTTCAATACTTGGAAATATTAACTGGACAGATTAGTGCTTTGACCCTTCAGAACTAGCGTGGCCGAATATTAGTACAAGGCGCTTAACGAAATCCCTAATCTTCCCTCTAGTACATGGATTGAATGATGTTAAACTAGCTAGCATGGTTTAGGTGCACCAAGTTGTCAAAAATTAGTCAAATTTCTAAATTCCACGACTAAATATGTGACAGAAAGCAGAAGAATAGGGAAGATGAACTTGATATAAGCTTTGAAAAGTAGAAATAACTTTAATATTCGAGCACAATTTAAAGATATTTGTGCCTCCAAGCTCAGTAAGAACTAACCAGCGGAATTTTGTAAGAATTGATAGGCTTCAAATGGAATAAAAAGCAAATCAGCGAAAATAGACGATGAAAGGAGAAAATCAGGCAGACTTTCCTTAACCCCCAAACATTGAAAGAGAAAGCAGCGCTAAACCCAGACTAGATCATTCAACGAGATCATATCATGAGACGGAGCTAATAACAAAAGAAAAGCCGGCTTATGTTTGTTTAATAATTATTTATTTTAATTTCCTTTCCTCACTTCTTTGGTGGGTATAATATGCACTGCTAGGCACTTAAAAGTTATGAGACATAATGCTGGAAATAATCTGTTTAAAGGCTGTTTTATTGGCGCAAAATGCTCATAAAATACCATGAACTTCATCTGCATAAACGCATCCACTGAATACAATCATCAATATCCATTGAAAAATTTCGGATTCCAAACAAGTATTTGGAAACAAAGAAATAGAACCTAACATTAAAAACACAATTTCGAATAAAAGAAAAAATAGCAAGACGATAAATTTAATGAGATGTGATAACAGCTATCTTTGCTATGGGTAATCATTCTCATCACTAGATTTGATTTGGTGGGTGGCTTCGATCTTGGGGAATCAATGTAACATGAACATGGAACAATAAATCGACAGTTCTTACTGCAGATCGCTGATATCCGGAAAGCGACATATGCGAAGCGTCTTAGAATTAGATCCAACGACGTAGAAGGAGCCGAGAGGATGAAATGCGACAGAGCGAATGGGTTGAACGTCCTCCAGAACTGTAACGGGGATGTATTGCGGTGGAGGTCCATCATATTCACCTTCTAAATCCCCTTGGAAGCGGAGATTTGAGGTTGAGCCATCCGTTGGTACATCTGGAAGATCGCGGCTGCTAGGATTTAATCTCGATTCCTAAAATGAAATGAAGAAATTAGAAGTATAAAAATAATCACTTCTCGACAAAATGTACTTTTCCACTATGCTCTTTCTCGCTTTTCAGTGAAACGGCGCTTAAACCCTCAATTTGTTTCTATGACCTAAATTACTCGGTAAATTCTCCAAATTCATACTGAAGTTATTAGATGTAGCTAATTGAACTACTGGAGCTTCTTACTTGCTTCCTCTTCCACATTTCGTGTTATTTTGCAAGCATTTGACATGGGGCTAGCTAGGAGTTAGGATCACTTGCAAATTATTCACCAGAAATTTGGGAAGTGTGCAAGGCATACTCAAAACTAAACAAATAAGCGTTTAGCCTTCACGTAATAAGCACCAAAAGCAAAAAGAGATAACAAATAAAGATAAAAGGTTCATTTTCTTCCCACAAAAAATTATCCCCTAGTCTCTTTAACAGTTAACACCAAAATACGAAAAAACTAACCAACTAAGTGAAACAGTTGAGAAAAAAAGTAAACACCACTTAAGTTTCCCAGCATTAAACGTCATTCATTTCGATTTTATTAATGCGCTGTTTCTTCTCATCGAGGAGCTAAGTATGTGAACAATTACCCAGAAGAAGATATTTAAGAGACAAAAAGATAGCCAATATACCATTAATATCACCCTCAATCACTAAAGACATCGCAACCAATGTGAATTCCATTCAACTGAACTCCAATTGAAATCAAAATTGCTGAAAATAAATGTATACTTTAAAGTGTTAAAAACACTTTATCTTCATCAAAATTGAAATTTTATCTTCTAATAAACTGAAAATTTGAATTCCCCTGAATTTAGAAAGCTAATTAGCAACCACGCACAAAACAAACGCATGTACGTCAAAGGGCGGGCTTTATGACTACAGTAAAAAGCGACCAAATGTTAACCAAGTAAGCAATCCGCACGTAGAAACCCAAAACTCAGCGTATTATATTAAGCACTCAATTTTATTCATTAATTTAGTTTGCTGATTTTACACCACCTGTAGAAAAATTTTATTTCTTTGGCACCGATGGGGTGTGCGATAGACTTACCTCCACGTGGTGCACCCTGGGCAACGTATACTCATACGGCAAAAAAGTCTACAAACCGGCAGTTGAATTCTGACTTCGAACTACCACGACCCCCCTGGTTGTCATATTCGACCCCTTCCACAGGACTCACCTTACCTTTTTCTCTACCTTTGTGTCTGTCTGCCTCTTTTACATCTGTGAATCGCTCTTCTGTACCCCACCCCTCGACATTCTTCTACTTTAATGACCCTTCCCTCTGTGAAGCCCGAAGTCAGCTAAAGAGCTAACGATAGCTATCAAAACGCCTGCCATTTGAAAGAAAGAAATAAATAACTTTGGCACCGATTAAAAGGATTTTTAGACGAAAACAGGGTGCTGCTCACCGAGTGTTCTGCAGTAGTTGAAATCAAAATGTCATT